GGGCGTGGCTACGCCCATTTTCTAAAAATTTATAATATTCTTATTTTTCGTCTGAAATTTATTGTAAATATCAATTTTGAGTGAATTATCTTCAGTAGTTACTAAAATATCGTAGTTTTCGTATTTCTGAAAATTACCGTTATATGGGATGTGGGTTATTGTCCGATTTTTTAAATTTTCGGCCGTTTAGTATGCTGTATCAAGGTCAACAACTGTGCCAAGTTTGGAAGAAATTGGAGTGGTTATTGGAAGTGGTTATTGTCCGATTTTTTAAATTTTCGGCCTTTTAGTATGCTGTATCAAGGTCAACAACTGTGCCAAGTTTGGAAGAATTGGACGGACGGACAGACGGACATGGCTTAATCGACTTCTCTATTCATTCTGATCATTTATGTATACATTTGTCTATATCTATCTCGATTCGTTTTGGCTGTTACAAACAACCGTTATGTGAACAAAATTAATATACCCTTGTGCACAAGTGCGCTCGGGTATAAAAAAATTTAACCACCATACTTTTCCATTGGTCACATAAACAGCAACAGTGTAGCATAGGAAATAAAATTAGAATACTTATTAAACGTTTTATCTCTAAAAGTGCATTAACATATTTAAACTATTTGAAAAACATCTTACCAGCTAAGGTAAGTTCATTACAATTTTTGATCGATATGAAATGATATTATACTAAATATTACACGTGTAGCATGAAACGAAAAAATAAAACAAATCGTGGCCGTCCAAAAAAGGTAACAAAAAAAGCGTTAATACTGGTAGAAAAATGGTGAAACACGAAAATGCTATTGTAAGAACATTACAAAAACGAGCTTAAAAATTAAGGCATCAACTAAATGATATAGAAGATGTAAAAAATGTGATGAAAGTCGATACGGATTATCAAAAAACTGCAGAAAATACTAATGTTATTCGGCATACAAAGGACTCAGCCTTCGCATTTTTCTTTTATATGATTATTCTGTTGAAGGATATAAAGCTTTAGTTAGTGATGCCATTTTTAGAAATTGTCCGATGTACCCCAGTTATGGTATCATCAAAAGGGCAATGGTAGAATGTCAGCCTAAAAATTGTAAAGTACGTGAGATAGAAGTTTTTGTGCCTCTTCAAAACATTTTAAATAAATCGGTTGAAAGACTATGTGAAAGCGTTGCTTTGGACTGGAGCGAAGAAGCCTTATATAAATTGGAATTAACTTGCACTTTAGGATTTGATAGTTCTTCCGGTCAGGTTAATCCTCACCAAAAACTCAAAAATGCCGATAATGAAACCTCTAATCCTCAGCAGTCGCTTTTTATTAGTAGCCTCATAATTATACAATTAAGGCACATTAATTCAGAGGATTTTTCTTGGTTGAATCCGACTCCGCAAAGTATTAGATTTTGTCGGCC